ATGAAGTTCCCAAAGAGATTGCATGGAAAGAAGAGGCGGCCCTCGAGGAGCACGTACCGAATGCTCCAGACCGGGCTGAGAAAGCGAAAAGCGATGCTGCCAGTCGGAAACGAGCTCTCGACGAGATGACTGGAGGCGTAAATGAAGAAGAGATGGAAGAGTATCGCCGCAAGAGGACAATGGCTGCCGACCCTATGGCAGCATATCTCAGCAAGGGAGGGAAAAGTGAGGCGGTTTAAGTTGTCCAGCCTTTCGTCACGGCGTCATAGGGCATCAATATTGTATTACTAGTAGCATTGTATGGCGTTTATACCCTTGAGTCGCATCCGAGCATATCATGTAAAATGACATAGCAGTTCCTGATGATCGTTGCGCTGGCCATGCGTGATCGGTACAGTTCGCGGTTCGAGGGTGCATGCAGCGAAGCCATGTAGCCCCATTTAGTGAAGATGCATCCTTTCACCCTCCATCACGAATGCCAACTCAGACTCTGAGGCGGTTGCGCATGCAGCCGCGTATGCGTTGTTAGTCGATGGCGAAGGCAACAGTTTATGCCAGGATGCACAGCCCGGGGGGAGGAGTTCGCGGCACGGGTTGCGCAAGACACGCCTTGGGGGGATTATGGCTAGAGTAAAGAGGTTTTACCTGCAAGTACCTCTGGGATACAGTGGGAAATGTAAGAAGGTTAGTTGGGCAGCAACCAATTATCGCGTGCGATGCCTCGTCGCGGGTGAAGGCGATGACGAAGCGCCAAGCAGCACGAACCACCTCCCAGGGTCGGTCGAGTAGGTAGTAGGAGCTCCTCTGATGGTTGACTGACCCCAACAGCGCAACCACTTAACTCATCCCCACACCCCCTCATTCCTGCGCATTACTTTTGCGCGCCTTCTCGACACGGACCCACAGCCTTTCATTTCTACAGTTACCTGATACCACCAGCAACTAAACCAAGAAGGGGCTTACGGCGAGCAAGATGGCGCTCTACGGAAGCTCGCGCAACGTGGACATGGGGAAGTACGTATACCATCGCCATCATGCCGGACTGTGCCAGACACACATAGAAACCCGTCGCTGCATTGTTCAGAGTACAGACTAAAGAATACCACAGGCAGGAGTCGGAGCTTGCCATCAACATTCGTAAAGCCACAAGCATCGAAGAGGTCTCACCCAAGAGTACGTGCCGAACTTCCCGAGAACGCGAGCGAGGCTTATATTGGCACAGGAAAACATGTGCGAGCATGCATTGTCTACACGTGGGATCACAAGAGTTCTGCCTCCTTCTGGCAGGGCATGAAAGTGTAGGTCAACTAAGGCGCATCCGTAGTGCCCAAACTGCGACCAATGCTGATAGCATGTTCCAGGCAGCCAATTCTCGCCGACGAAGTGCAAACATTCAAAGCGCTCATTACGGTCCACAAGGTCCTACAGGAAGGCCATCCCATCGTTCTCAAGGAGGCGCAATCGAACACCAGCTGGCTTGAGAGCTTATCACGCGGCTCCTCAGTCGGCGAAGGCATGCGAGGATATGCGCCGCTTATCTCCGAGTACATCTACTATCTCATGGCCAAGCTTGCCTTCCACCGACAACACCCGGAGTTCAATGGTACGAAAGTTGGTAGCAGGGCACAAGCATTGGGCTGATTGGAACAGGAACCTTCGAATACGAGGAGTACATCAGCTTGAAGTCGATCAACGACCCCAACGAGGGGTATGAAACCATTTCGGACCTTATGACCCTACAGGATCAGATCGATGCCTTCCAGAAGCTCATCTTCTCCCACTTCCGAAGCGGCGCGAACAATGAGTGCAGGATAGCAGCGTTAGTGCCATTGGTTCAGGAGTCGTATGGTATCTACAAGTTCATCACTAGCATGCTGCGCGCGATGCATACCAGTAGGTGACAGGACTTCGGCCAAGTTGCAACCCAGCTAACCAGTGTAGCGCTCGGTGACGATGAAGCGCTCTCGCCTCTACGCGGACGATACGATGCGCAGCATTACCGTCTCGTCAAGTTCTACTACGAATGCTCGAACCTGCGATACCTGACAAACCTCATCACAGTACCAAAGCTGCCACAAGAACCACCAAACCTACTTTCTGAAGATGAGAGTGCGCCTGCACTACCTAAACGACCACAAAACGAAAAGCCTGCAGAACCCACACGCGCTCCCTCAGTCGACCCAGAGCCGATCAACGAGTTTTGGAAAGACAACCAGCGTAGGCAGCAAGAGGAATACGAAGCTGAACAGCAGCGACTACAGCGACAATGGGAGGAGGCTCAACAGCAGCAGCAACAGCAAGCGATGCAAGCACAACGTGACTTTGAAGAGCAACAAAGGCTCCAGGCAGAACAAGCTCGGTTGGCGCAAGAGCAACTCATGCGCGACCAGTATCAACAGCAGACACAGGGGCGTCTTGCTGAGCTTGAGCGGGAAAACCTGAATGCGCGCGCACAGTACGAACGCGACCAGCTCATGCTACAACAATACGACCAGAGGATGAAGGCTCTAGAAGGCGAGATCAACCAAATGAATCAAAACTTCCAACAGCAAATGGGCTCGCGAGACGATCAGATAAGGGCACTTCAGGAGCAGCTCAACACATGGAGATCAAAGTACGAGTCGCTGGCTAAGCTATATTCGCAACTGCGTCATGAGCATCTTCAATTGCTGCAGAAGTTCAAGACAGTTCAGCTCAAGGCGAACTCGGCCCAAGAAGCCATAGATAGCCGGGACAGGCTGCAACGCGAACTCAAGACCAAGAACTTGGAGCTGGCAGATATGATCCGTGAGCGTGACCGAGCACTCATGGAGAAGGACCGCCACACTGGTGGTCACCGCGAGGAGACCGAGAAACTGAAGCGGGAACTCCGCGCTGCTCTGGATAGAGCCGACAACCTCGAGCGCGGCAAGGGCTCAGAACTCTCGGCAATGCTGTCGAGACACAACCGAGAGATTGCAGATCTTGAGGAGGCGCTGCGAAACAAGACCCGTGCGCTAGATGAGTTCCAGATGAAGTACCGCGAAGGTGATTCTGACTTGGAGCGTCAACTGCGTGACAAGGAGGAGGAGCTGGAGATCTTCCGTGCCGGTATGGACCAGACACTGCTCGAACTCAACGAGCTGAAGCTCAATGCCGGCACGAACGATGATGTGCTGGACGGCCACTTGGATACCCTTATCCAAGACAGTCTTCAGAAGATCAACGACATCATCGACTCGGTCCTCCAAAGTGGTGTGCAACGTGTCGACGATGCGTTGTACGAACTGGACTCTCCTATGCAGGCTGGTAACCAGAACGCTACTGGTCCGTATGTGCTCTCGCAGATTGAGAGGGCATCGACATGTACCATGGAATTCTCGACCGCGTTCAACAACTTCATCGCTGACGGGCCGAACGCAAAGCATGCTGAGGTCATTAACGCCGTTAACAACTTTGGTGGCGCAATAGTTGATGTTTTGGTGAACACCAAGGGATTGACGCGATTCGCTTCTGACGAGAACAAGGCCGACCAGCTCATTGGTGGTGCAAGGACTTCTGCAATGTCAACCATCAGGTTCTTCCGTAACGTCCAGTCAGTGCGCATGTACGACATGGACGCAGAGCAGAAGATCAACGTTGTCATCAACAACAGCACCGAGGTTGTGCGCAACCTGCAGAGCTTGTCTAAGCTTGCAGACGCGTTCGCGCCCAAGAGCAAGATCACCAATGCCTCTGGCGACCTTGGCGATCTGGTCGACAACGAGTTGACCAAGGCAGCCAACGCCATCGACGCGGCTGCCGAGCGTCTGGCGAAGCTGATGAAGAAGCCGAGGGACCAGTACTCAACTTATGAGCTCAAGATTCACGACTCCATCCTCGAAGCCGCCATCGCCGTCACGAACGCGATTGCCCAGCTCATCAAGGCAGCGACAGAATCGCAGAAAGAAATTGTTCGCGAAGGCCGAGGAAGCATGTCCAAGACGCAGTTCTACAAGAAGCACAACCGCTGGACCGAAGGTCTCATCAGTGCTGCCAAGGCCGTCGCCACATCGACAAACATGCTCATCGAGACCGCCGATGGTGTCATCTCCGGTCGCAACTCGCCTGAGCAGCTCATTGTCGCCTCCAACGACGTCGCTGCTTCCACCGCTCAGTTGGTGGCTGCTAGTCGTGTCAAGGCCAGCTTCATGAGCAAGACACAAGACAGGCTCGAGGGTGCGTCTAAGACTGTCACGGCGGCTTGCAGGTCGCTTGTCAGGCAGGTACAGGAGATTATTGCCCAGAAGAACAGGGACGAAGGCCAGGAAGTCGACTACAGCAAGTTGGGCGACCACGAATTCAAGGTTCGCCAGATGGAGCAGCAGGTATGTGAACACCGAACATTGTTTGAAGAGGAACATTTACTAACAAATCAATTTAGGTTGAGATTCTGCAACTCGAGAACTCGCTTGCACAGGCTAGGACAAGGTTGGGTGAGATGCGTAAGCTTTCTTACCTCGAAGAGTAGATGTATGCACATTAGCGCTTTGCTTTGTGGAACATGGTCGATTCATCGTTGATAGTTGCGATTCATCCTTGTGTCTTGTTGTAGCGACACGCTAGGGACAAAATTTAATCCTTCTTTTTCCATCGCTGACGGAAGACTATGTGCTTGGCCTTGATCAAGATAAAAACTTTCTTGTACATGATGGAGTTCTTTATGCCTAACATTGCGCACGCGAATACAAACGATCTCAGTCATGGGTCAAAAGATCATGCTATTGATAGACCGAAGCTTCCAGTCGAGGGATTTTGCTCGCTACCCTATGTCTAACAGATAGTCATACTTGCCTTGCGTACGTTGACGGGCGAGCATTCTCCCTGTACAACGTACTTGACAAGCGCCCAATTTACCCTGATTCATTTCCTTGGGCTATCGGTTTCTGTTGCAAAGACTCCCGTTGGTGTATTCTACCAGGTTTCATACTTGTCACTGTCACCTCTCTTTCTGCCCACAATCCCACCCTGAATCTTTTTACTTATAGATCCAATGGAAAACCATCCTTTTCTTGTCTCTCGTATATGGCAATAGCCTGCTGTACGGTGAACATGACGTCTTCACCGAGCTTCATCTGCTCCTTTGTGGCAGCCCGCCTCTTCGTGACTGAGCGTGTCACCCTGATGTTTGTTTTCTCTTTGGCTGTACGCACTTCGTTCATGACTTGCTCCTCGTACTTCCCAAAGATACGGTTCTTCGCATTTCGCTCAGCGCGTGCCTCTTTCTTTTTGAACGCCCGCTTCTTTAGGACTGAGTCCGACTCCTTGATGGTTGGTTCCTTCTCGGCTGCATGATCTATCTTCGCAGGCCCAGCTTGGTCGTCTAGGAAGCCATGCCTCCTGCTCGTGTTTTACTTTTGCTCGTCCTGGAAGTAGAGTATCTGTGGCGGGAGTGAGGGTGTGGTCCGATGGTCGGTGTCTTGGATGATGGCGCGATAGACACGTGAGGGTTGATCCGGTAAGCTTCTTGGCTGTCTGACTTCCTTGGGATCATTAACCCCAGCCGTGCTCATTAGTGGCTTTGTATTCAGGCGACGGCTTGGTTTCTGATAACCATGTCCGTAATGAGCGGCCCCATGTTTAGGTCTGAAGGGAGCCGTGATTTGCAACCTTGGCCCTTTGCTAGAATATTAGAAGTGAGGTTAGTCAACAATAAGAAAGCTAGGTTTGTTCGAGAGTTCTCCCGTACAAATCCAGTGTATTACGTAGATCTCCACAAGTGTCTGTACTGCGTTTGGCGCTCGTTCGGCCAATGTTTCCAGACTCGCGCAATGCTGTCGGCTTGTGGATGAACCTGGGTCCACAACCTCGCCGTGGCATGACGCGTTTTAGGTCTGTACCACTGCCAGCATAGTTTAACCTCCCGGATGTATCCGAAGACTGTGTAAAAGTCATGTTGATCGTCTTTAATCGATGCCAGGAACAGAGTTACAAAAAATTGTTGGACATGGTTGTGGGGAAGTGGGGCTGGTTAGCGGGACACGCTATCACGTGTAGCGGTTAGCGCGCCTTGAAGTAAACACGCCTGGGTTACGATGAGGGCAATGCGACAAGGATAACGTTCACCTCCACGCCAGACTGCCACCCGCCATACTGGTTCACGATCACACCACTATGCCTACCGCTACGAACCCAGAGTCACGCTCTCCGTCTCCCACACCTGCCCGACCTATTGCTGATGCTCCTGGCCCGCGCGCGCAAGGTCTGATCAATGTCTTCAATCAGGCTTCAAAAGCGACCCTAGACAAGTGTTCCGCAAAGAACTTTGCTTCGTGTTTCCCCACGGCCGCGCAGTATAGCCCAGAGGTGCTGGACAACTTGAGAGGGCAGATCGTGGATCAGCTGGACCGGACATGGAAGACCAACTTCGAGGACATCATGGAGAGGAGGAATGTTGTTAAGCTTCTCAACTCGCTAGACCAGTGCATAGAAGATGCAAAATTAAGAAAGAGGCGCGCCGAAGCGAGCGCCAACGGTGGACCCGTCGAGACACCTGTGCCGTGAGTCCCGCAAGAGCATCAATCACTGTCGCTAACAAATACTAACCCATTATCAAAGACCCCATACTCTTACCCCAGCCGAAGTACACTTAGCGCACCTTATGCCTTACCTCGAAAAGCAGGCGACAGAGATGAACACTAAGCTCGTCGAGACTCAGCAATCGAATACCGAGCTGCTTTCGACTATTACTGCACAGTGTGCCGAAATAGAAGCCCTAATACGAGGCCTAGAGAACGTCATACAAGATCTGGACGCCAGTGCACAAATAATGGCTCAAGACCATGTGCAAGACTTGAGCGGAGAGACCAGGGATCTCGAGATGGAGATGCGGACATGAAGCTGGAGAAGACGCAGTGACTTCAAGACTCCGTCCACCTTTCCATTTCGAATACGTCGAAACCCATCACGACTCCATCCCGGGTGCGCCACGAGCTAGATCATCAGCTACAGAGTGCCAGCACCGGATTCGAATACACCCCTACCTACATAGATAGGGCTCTCACCAGAGTCAGGGACAGCTAGTTTGCACCGGATATGCTTTGACTCAATAGGCAAAGGATTGAAGAAGGCTTCTTGCGACACGTGGTGGAATGGAAGCATGATTTCGGACGCAGCGCCGTCGTATAGCAGTCGCTATGGATAGGAGGACGAAGAAGAAGCACCAAGTTGTGGAGAACAACGTCCGCGAGCCTAATTAGAAGGCAAGTCTTCGATGTGGATACCTGAGTGTAGAGGGGCTGATCCGGTTGTTCGGTCAACCCTCTGGAACAGACGAAATTCAACTCGATGAAACGCTGCGAGAGCTCTCGCGGTTAGTTCCGTCACCATATGCGCTTGCCTATTCCAACAGCTTGGTGACTGAGTATAACAAGACGCGAGGGATGCTGAAGAATGCAATTTTGGACTGAGTGCGATGTCGATGCAAAGCCTAATGGCATATAAACGAGTTTTTCATGCTTCGATGTTTTAGTTCACAGCGTTCTTCACAGACGTAGGGATTCTTTGTCGACATGGGGCAGGGAAGTCGCTCCTAGCTTTGGGGAATGTGTGGGGTAGCTCCAGCCGGAGGTTGTTCGACCGAGCCGACCCCTCGAATATGCTCATCAACAACGGTCTTGTACGAACTGTCACCGACACAATTACGTAGTCAGATGCTCTACATGGTATCTTATTCCGACTACGAGCGCCCATCATGATGCTCTAGCGGAAAACAACGTTATTGGAGGATAATTTGTGGAGAGGACTGCTACCTTTGATGCGGAGAGGAAGTACCCGTACCTGAGAAAGATGAAGACCTGGTCTTGATCAGGGTAGTTTCTGGGGTAGATCTGCGACTCCTCAGGCTAATATCTCATCCCAAGTATTTTTCATAGTCGTCGCGGAAGATACCGACTACGCATGAGGGGAAGTGACGCAGCAGACCATATTCCAGCTCCTCTTACAGTAGTTGGTCTTCTCGCTATCAAAGGGACTATAAGGTCTTGGGCATGGCCAATAGCTTCTGAGGCGAACACAGCTTCGCTAAACGGCTAGCATGGCTGCTAGATTCATTTGCTTAGGGTTCTTATCCCTATATAACGATCTAGTGGGAGCATATGCTGTACAAACACGAAATTACGATACATCATTTACCGGTCGTGAACGCGTGAGTCTCAATACAGACTGGCGGTTCTGGCGATCCGAGAAGAACCCGGATGGGATCACCTACGACAACCGCACCGATACGCCTCAAGGGAATGTCACATACTTGAGACCATGGATTCTCCCAGGCGCCAACGAATTCATACAAGATGTGTCGAAGCACTTTGAAGCCCCGACGACCCGCCCTATCGTCAACATTCCGTACATACAAACCTCCTTCGACGACAGTTCTTGGGAGGATGTTACGTTGCCGCATGATTGGGCAATCAAAGGGCCCTACTACATCGGAGACCCAACTCCTATCACAGGTGGGATGGCAAGGCTACCGTCGCAAGGAGTAGGGTATTACCGAAAGAAGCTATCAATTTCTAATGAAGATGCGGGAAAGGTGATCTACCTTGACGTCGATGGTGCAATGTCTTACGCTATGGTTTGGCTCAATGGTAATTTGGTGGGCGGTTGGCCATATGGTTACAACTCATTTCGTCTTGATCTTACGCCTCACTTGCAGCCAGGCAACGAGAATCAGTTGGTGGTCCGGCTCGACAATCCCATAGACTCTTCGAGATGGTATCCAGGTGCTGGTCTTTACCGAAATGTCTGGTTGACTAAGGTCCAGCCGATTCACGTTGCCAATTGGGGGGCCCATGTTTCGACACGAGATGTAAGTGCAGAAGTTGCGACTGTCGACATCTCAGTCCATGTGGAAGCCAAAAACAATGCGAGTCAAGAGGTTGAAGTTGCTACCGACATATATATCTACGATGCAGAGGTGAAGAAGATGGGAGAAAAGGTGGCGGAGTTTCCTAGGACAAGTCTAATACTGTTCGGAAGCAAACAATCCGCGAACGCTACAGTTGCAATTGAGGACCCTCAACTGTGGGGACCTCCGCCAAACCAAAAGCCGAATATGTACGTCGCTGTTACCAGCCTGTTGAGCCACAACAGTAGTATTCCAGTCGACACGTACGAGACACACTTCGGCATCCGATCGTTTACCTACAGTGGTGAAGAAGGGCTTTCCGTTAACGGAGAACGCCTACGAATCCAAGGCGTAGACCAACACTGCCATGACCTTGGAGCTCTCGGGAGCGCGTGGAACGATCGTGCAGCTAAACGCCAATTGGAGGCTCTGCGAGAACTCGGAGTAAATGCTATCCGTATGGCGCATAATCCACCGGCAACAGAGCTACTCGATATGACGGACCGCATGGGCTTTGTAGTCATGGACGAAATCTTCGATAGTTGGGAACAAAAGAAGACAGACAATGATTTCCACCTTATTTTTCCCGAGTGGCACGAAGCTGATCTTCGGTCCTTTATCCGAAGGGATCGTAACCACCCTTCCATTTATTCTTGGAGCGTAGGCAACGAAGTCGGCGAGCAAACATGCTGCGGAGACCGAGGCTACGAGATAGGTCGCCTACTGAACGACATTGTCAAATCTGAAGACCCTACCCGACCCGTCACAGCATCCATGAACGTAGCGAAACCAAACATGACCTTCCCTGAGGCCTTCGACATCCTGAGCTTGAACTACCAAGGAGAAGGTATCCGCGATACACCTCAGTACTCTTTCACAAACGGCACACGGACCCCACCGCAGTACAAACCCTTCCACGATGCCTTTCCGGAAAAACTGATAGCAGAAAGCGAATCTGCGGCTGCACTAAGCTCTCGAGGTACCTATCTCTTTCCCGTCACAGACCTCAATAGCGCCCCCGTGAACGACACAAATGGCGGCGGAAACTCGTCTCTCTACTATGTTTCCGCCTACGAGCTTCATACTGCAAACTTTGGTTCCTCGGCAGACAAGGTATTTGCCGCACAAGACGCGAATCCCTTTGTCGCCGGCGAATTCGTATGGTCAGGCTGGGACTACCTAGGCGAGCCGGAGCCGTACTACGACGCTCGCAGTTCCTATTTTGGTGTTATTGACCTTGCTGGATTTCCAAAGGATCGGTATTATCTGTATCAGGCAAGGTGGCGACCAGATGTTAAAATCGCACATATAGTACCGCAGCATTGGAATTGGGCTGAGAGAGTGGGCACGGTGACGCCTGTGCATGTGTTTACAAATGCTGAGGAGGCTGAGCTATGGGTGAATGGTGTGTCTCAAGGGAGGAAAAGCCTCAGTGCGTCCGAGTATAGGGCTAGGTGGGATGATGTTGTGTTTCAGCCTGGTGAGGTCAAAGTGGTAACGTACAAGGGTGGCGAGGAATGGGCGACGGAAAGTGTCAGCACAACTGGGCCACCGGCCGCATTAAGGCTTACGGTTGATCGAGATGAGATTTCGGCTGACGGGCTGGACCTTTCTTTCGTTACGTTGGAAGTGGTGGATGGTGAAGGGAATGTTGTGCGCAATGCTCACCACACAATTGACTTCGCAATCGAAGGGCCGGGAGAGATTGCTGCTACGGACAATGGGTTCCAAGCAGATTTTATTCCGTTCCAGTCTCTGCAGAGAGATTCATTCAACGGACTAGCATTGGCTATCGTGAAGGCGAGGAAGGGAAAACCAGGTTCTCTGACAATCACGGCTATGGCAGAGGGTCTAGAGGTGGGAACTGTCACCATCACCACAAAAGACTAGATGTAGACACGCTTTCAATTTCATCTCGCAAAACATTTGATAGTGTCGCTCGGCTGCACAATGCTTTTTCCAGCTCTAGGGCATATAGCACTTGAGCAGCGAGCCCAAACTCAACTCACTCCCTGTCTGCAACAAAAGATTCAAGGCGCCAGTGCCAAGATACACGGGACACTTGATCGCTTGTGCCTCATCTACAGCCTGCTTCAGTGATTCCGCGTACCCTCCTAGTGCCTTCCCTTTGCCATCTTCTTTGCCCTCCAAAACCGCAATCATCTTCGCACCTGCGTCCTTGAACATGCTACTTCCGCCTGCAGCATCACAGGCCAACTCGTAGAATTGTGCCAGAGGAATGCCAACGTGTTTGGCTAAGGAAATGGCTTCCGCCGCAGAAACGAGGTGGATACCGGTTAGAAGGTTGACGACAAGCTGGAGTTTTGCTTCTTTGTCCTCGGCTGAGAGGTTGCTCTGGATGCTGGTGACGGGTTCAGAAGTCCATAGGCGGACGATGCCAGCGTCATCGTTAGCTCCCCAGCCTCGGTCGAGCGCGGAGAAGTAGACTTGTTCTGCGGCTGAACAGAGGGTTGCTGGGAACGCTACACTACGAGCTGTAGATGTGATGATGCCCTATATTCCTTGTCAGCGCGTAGTCATGTCGTCTCGTCTTTCCGAAAATGGGATTTCGGAAGACGCGGAGTTACTCACAGTATCCTTCAGAATGATAGTCACTGCACTTGCCCCTGGGAAGTAATCCTCTTTCAAAGTCCTCTGACTGCGATTCTCAAACATCCAGCTCCACCCAGTACTCCCCAGCACCTTATCGTACACATCCTTGCCGTTCAAGCCCAGCCTAGCAGCGAAACCATATGCTTCGCTGAGAGCAAGAATCTGAACTGCCGCAAGGACTTGATGAACCATCTTCATATTGCTACCCGCGCCAATACCGCCATCGACAATGAAGAGCTTGGAAGGTGCGGACATCTCCTCTAGCAACCATTGACCTTTCTCAAAAGCTACAGACGAAGCACCAGCCATGATGGACAAAGTGCCGTCTGCTGCTCGTCCTGCACCACCAGAAACAGGCGCATCGATGAATAAGATATCGTCCCGGCCGATATCCACTAGCTCTTTCTCTACACTCTTCGCGTATGCGCTGGGTACTGTCGAGCACAGCAAGAGCGTAGCACCTTTTGGTAGCGCACCCACAATACCGTCTTTGTCGAAAAGCGCAGGTTGAGCTTGCCAAGCAGCGGCGACCATGACGATATAGAAAGGCTTGTCTTTTGCGGACTCCGAGAGCGAAGTTGATGGAGTGCCACCAGCGGCCTTGAATTTCTCGAGCGAAGGTGGGTAGAGGTCGAAACCGGTTACAGGGTAGCCCTGCTTGACGAGATGTGTTGCCATGCCCATTCCCATGGCGCCTAGGCCACAGAAGCCGATTTCAGGCTTGGATGACATTGTTGTTGTGTTTTAGCGGATTCGTCGTTTAATACTTCCAAGGTAATCTCTAGCAATACTATTGCTAAACGTCAACGAGCACTGTGCTGGAATCGTGTTCAGTGACTGGAATGAGAAACTGTCGTTTTCCTCTTTCTTACACTATAACCAATGTGTAGCTCTTTCTCAAGTAAGGTCTATTAAATACAGACCATGAAGATAAAGTTTAGAGTTACAATATCAAAGATAAAACATCGACCACGTACATCTCTCATATCACCCCACCCGGCCCGACGTCACGCACTGCTCTCTTTCCCCAGGAAAAGTGGCCTTGGTCCGGCAAAAGACCCGTCTTCGGTCATTGATATTCATCCTGGTTGCCCCGCACTATGAGCAAAACCGGCAAGGCGGAGTATTGCTCACCCGCCGAAAGTGGGTCGTCGGCAAATGACCGATGGAATTCTATGTTGGGGAAGCCGGACGCGCAGAGAATGCATAAGGAATTTCGGCGTGTGCGCCGCCTCGAGGACGCATCTCTTGGATATGGCAGTCGTCTTTGTGGACCTAGTCTACGTTCGGGTTGACATACGCCGTTGCTGGAAGCCGGTCTTGACTTGAGAGGACGGGATTGACACCAAAGACTGCAAATGTCACCCATTTCTTCAGAGAAGCATGTATATTATTCACATTATCATATTACTGCAAACTTCCTATAAACGTACCACGCGTTGAAAATCGTCAAAAAGTTATGGAAATCCGTATACGCAAAACCAGACCTCAGCTTCCAGTGAGATTGATAACCAGAAAGCTTTCAATCACATCGCCCAAGCCACATGAAACGGATACATCGGATCCAAAACTGCAGTGCCATCGCTCATTCCATCAGGGGTATAAGTCGCCAGTCCTTGCGAAGACGGACTATTAGTTGACAGAGAGTGAAATACTGCTCAAATCATCAGTGGTACATCTAAGCAGCAACAACCCTCTCGTCCTCACGACCACGCTGATGCTCACTAGCGATGGTCGAGTTAACATCGTCATCAAGGTCCTCACGGTCGTCGTAACCGTTGCCCTGGTGCTCGGAGGCAGGGATCCATAGGCCAGACTCCCTGTCGAGAGCCTGGTCTTGGCCGGAGAGGTCGACACCCTCACCCATGTTACGGTTCTGGTTGCGGCGGCGTTGAGAAAGGGTGCGCGATCGCTGGGAGAGCTTGGAGGAGACGGAGGCATTCTGGGACACCCAGTTGGTAAGAGCATCCTCACAGTCTTGGATGATGCTGTGGTGTGTCAGTAAATGTTTTTCTTGGGGGCAAGGAAGGAGACTTGACTCACGCCTTGCTAGCCTCGTAGCCGTCGTAAGCTTGGCGGGTTTCTCCAGGAGTAACTGGTGTATCGTCGACAAGTTCGAGGAGGTGCTTTCCGTAGCCAGCGATGATGGCCAGCTTCTCGCAGTGCTCGCGCATGGCGTCGAATTGGTAAGTGAAAGCTGCCTTGAGCTTCTCACGAGTGATGTTGGAAAGCTGGGCTTCGGCAACCAGAGACTCGGCCTCGGCACGTACGAGCTCCTGCTCAAGGACAACAATCTTGGGGGAGTTGGGCTCCTTGTACTTCAACTGAGCGATCTGGTCGGTGATCTTCTGCTTGCCTGTACGACTGTAAGCGTCATCCTGGTGGAACGCATGTGGTTAACTTACGGTCACGGCTGGGCTGGACGGAAGCTTCAATGTTACGGATGCTCTTGATGGTGACACGGTATTGGTCGTAGCGGTCAACATACTGGTCCTCGAGCTCACCGATTTCGTAAATGAGAACTCCGAGCTTGTCAGTGACGTCAGAGACGTCGTCGTCGCAGGCTTCGCCCCAAATGGAGAGTTGTTGCTGTGTGACAAGTCAGTACTACGTAGGGTTTCACAGGGGTAGTGCAAACTTACTGCGACCTCCATACGCTCCCTGGAAACCAGCTCCATGCTGCGCATGACGTTCTTTTCCATCTTCACAAGTTGTGACAACTTCTTCGCAAGGTCAGGTCCGAAGGCACCGGCAGACTTGTGGCGGAAGGTGTGGCCTACATAGCAGAGAATCAGTTAGCAGCTATAACATAGACAATGATATTCTTAGCACTGTAGTGACCATCCGGTGAGATCCGCTTGTGGAATATGTGCTGTTGCTGCATTATGCGACAAAGCGCTATTCACGCGGTGTGCGAAGGCGGCACTGCGCAGTCCTTATAGCTCATGTTTCGCGCGAAACGAAAACGGTTCCAATGCAGAATATCTCTCAAGTAGAAGACATACCAATGTTAGCCTTGCCAAAGAAGCGCCCGCTCTTGGTCGAGGACGCAGGTGGCGGGGGGCTCTGAATCTGCGACGCCGTAGGCGCGCGAGATTGGCGCATGCTGTATGTTCGGTGCATGTTGGCGTCGGTGTTGTAGTGATATATCGAGTATGAGTGGGCAGGGTGCGGCCGGGTGTGAAGCTTTTTAGGTGTTGTGTTGATAGGGAAGGCGCAGAGATGTCGCAGTATGACGGAGGTTTTGTTTAGGGGGGTTCAATGACGTAGACCTTGCTTAGCCCCACCCTCCCGCGGCGATCATGTTCCCGGACACGCTACCCTCAAATCATTTGCACATCCTCCACACTGCGACATTGGCAATCCTTGATCAGCGTAGGGTATCCTTGCATTTTGCTTAACCTCAATGCTTCGATTGCGACCCTTTTCTGCGCATTGCACCCGCATATATGCCACATCGCATACACAGCCAGACAACCGTCGCCCTGATTGCGCTGATCTAGGCTAAGGCTAGAATAGTTGGCGCCAGTGGCTATGTCCTCTCCGGCTGATGTGACGTTGATGTGTGCCTGGTTCCGGAACCCAATGGGCGCCATGACAACCACGCTACCAAGAATCCATCTTCCCTAGACCCTTACAAGCAGTCATCCAAGTCACTTGGCATCCACGTTGTCTATCTACTAAGAGTCCTGCCATCTCATTTTACGATTATCTCAAGTTCGTGCGATGTGACAAGTCCATAGAAGCGATGAGGCAACTCGAGAGGGGTGTGTGATTCGAAAGCCGGGCGTTCCGCGACCTGTTTGAACAACGCTGGTGGGAAAGTGACTATCTTGGTTCTAAACTAGGTCATGCCATAGCAAGCATTGACCAGTGGCAGAATCTTGGTTTTCCCAAGGTCCAAAACTGACCATGTATAAAGCGTGCATAAAACATTGGGGTATATCGTCAACTCATCGCACTCAAATCTGGGAATACAATGCTCCATCGTGAAGCTGATTGGCGAAGACGCTGAGTATACTTCCAGCTTCGCCTAGGCCATTGCTAGGACGTAGAGCCCAAAAGATGAGCTCGCCCTCCCGCGGTGACCGACGGTGGTGCACAGCTAGGGATACTAAGCTTATTGCGAACACAGTTGTCACGCCCAAAAGGGTGTTGACAAACAGCGTAGAGGGCAGCTCCGATCGAATGCGCTTCGACGATGCCAGCGGCTCCGAGACAATGACATTTTTCCGCTGTGAGAAGACGGACAGCCCAGGAGTGTTCCCCAAGATCTCTTTGGCGCCGGCTAGCGTACTTGAAACGAGAGTTCCTGATCTTGCTGCCCACGGTAAAGATGTACTTCTTGGCGTCTTCTTCGCACCGGCGGAGACAGACCAGATATCTGCAGAGCTCACCTGTTCACCGCGGAATAGATCCTCATGCAGCCTACCTATGTATGCTACAATGCGTGGGTATTTGGTCTGGAGAGTTTCTCTGAGCCATGCCTGGGGCACTGGCGGGTAGTACAGCAAGGACAAGTATCCAAAGGCAAGGCAATCCAGACTGGATGGCTTGTCCCCACGGAAGAGGTAGTCGTGTTTTCCCAGTAGATCTGACAATGGGTCCAAGAGTTCGCCTGATAGAGCATCAAGTCTGAATCGTGCGGCGTACACCTGACCACCTAAGAGGCCGCCAAGACTCTTTCCACGCCCTATGCTCATGGCATTTGGTTGGTTTTCGGTAGGTATGCCGGCTGCCCGCTTGGCGGCTTCATATTCGGACGAAGCGGTACCTCGACCTGGCGCAAACCCCTCCTCGGCTGTGGTCTCCACATCTAGACTACTCAATCCCATGTGCGCCGTCCTAGCTCTAGCGAGATCTCGTCGTTTCGGAGGGACGGTGTAGTTGGCATACCATGGGAGGATGGCAGTATACGCAGACGAGGTTGTAGAATTGTAGTTTTCGGCAGAGACGTAGAGGGACAGGTCGATCAGAGGGGTTGCTGTGGATTGTAGAAATGTGATGAAGCTGTAAATATATAAGAATACATATATCAACTCATGGATCGGTACCTACGCAGTCCTATCGGTCTGCTGTCGATTTGATAAGTTGACATCAAGGTCATTGGTGACTGAAGGGTGGTTGCGAAGGTATGCGACAATGTCCTCAAAGCCGGAGGCTGTTGCGACATCGTCATCGAAGAGTATCGGTAAGCTCTCTGCGAGTGTGTAAGGGCTTGCTCTGGACACGATAAGTCATGGATCCCGTACCTGTGGTGCCAATCGTAGGGTTGTGCTCGGCCACCAGTGACCATTCTCCTCTGGGGATGACACGCTGACAATAGGCGATTGTGGCTATGCATTCAGGCTCTATTGAAGAAAGCCCAAAGGCTGGGCCCCATACATGAAGCTCAAGCACCATATCTAGTGCTGTGTTGTGGTGCGTCGTGTGTGATTGTGATGCGCTGACGCCCACTTTCCGAGCAACTTCTGCGCATGCCGATCGGAACTAGCGTCGGAACGCTCGCACGTGAACACGCATCATCGTCGCCCGTGTCTATGCTGGCAGTTGCATTCACTTACTTACATCGTCAACATCAGGAATCAACGCCACACTCTCTAGTCCTTCAATATGGCACCACTCCGACGATACTTAAGAATTACAAAGCATTCTGTTCTCGAGGTTCGCATCTATCTTGACCGACCCACTGATGCTGAGGCATGGCTATTGAAGCGCGACGACCCAGCACTACCACGCGTCATTGAGGCTATACGACCGCTTGTACTACCGAAGCTCCGAGAGGAAAACGAGCGGGGTAGAGGCCGAGGTAGTGCCAAATCTAAAAAGAAGGGAGTAAAGGACGTCGTCGTTGAAGGTAAGTTGCATGGAAGTTTGATATCGTATCCACAGTGCAGGCATCCCCGCATTGATGCTGTAGTCTTACTCAGACGGCTAACCTCACGTCAGATGATTTCGAGGTTTCCATCTTTTTGACGGACCTATCCTCCCGGCACTCCGTTCTGACCAAGCAAAAGATCTTCAAAGACAAGGCCCGCATCCAAAGCAATTCCGGGAAACTCACCAACTGGCTGACAAGTGGAACTAGCGATCAGCCTGTCGTTATCAACGAAGATGGCGCAGATCCGATCGTTATCAGAGAAGAGGACGATGATGAGCCCATCAATCTTGCTGACATCCCGGCAGCTGACCAATCTGGGAAACAGCCTAAACGTTCAGCACGTCAAAGACGCCGAAGGAACGAGGATGACGATACTGCACTCAGCAATCGCAGCGATAGCGAAGGTTCGGATTTGTTTGTCCCTGAGCCCACCAATCGACGTCGGACCAAGGCTCGTACACAGGACGAAGACCAGGATAGTGACGAGGAGCCACATGCGGATGATAAGAAGAAGCTTGGTCTCAACACATCATATGATGGCTTCAGTATCTACGGTCGTATACTGTGTCTTGTCATTAAGCGCCGTGGCGTACGAAACGTGGCAGGTCCAAGTGGTGCAAATTCAAGCCAGGCTATGCTTGAGAACTGGGTTTCTACACAAGCTGTGGCAGAGCAGCTCGAGGACGATGAGGACGCTATGTGAATAGAATTAGCATCACTGTACTATACGACCGCCGTCGAGTTAAGACAGTCGGATCTTGTTGCCGACTGACACGAGTACGAGTGCGAGCTGACAGGGACGAAAATAACAACGCCGGCCACGATTCACCGACCCTGAACACGATGGGTTCTTGACAGGCTTATCCACGTGGACGCACTGTGCTGAACCATCATACCGGATAAATGCGCGGTCCCTCAGGAAGTCCTTGCGCATTAGGCGGCTTAGTGAACCATTTTCCCAGAGGAGTGCAACATACGCCACGATATTCGCGCACCATTTTGTGCGTGCGCGTCTTTCTTATTTCCGCTGCAAACGTGGTCCATATCGCATCCGGGGCTTGATGAGGACAATGAACCTGAAACTGAGCATATAGAAGGGGTTGATGTATTCACGGTTGGAAAGTCGGCTATTCGGAACGACCAGACGTATTACATACTGCACCTATGGCCGGGGTCTGTTTGTTTTTTATTCGACCGCAACGCTGAGTGCTGCGTTGAACAGCTCGTGGATCGAAAACAGCACTGGGGAACCATTGCCTTGGCGCATTGAGACTCGGTGCTTTCCCGGCGAATACCCATCTGAATTCTCGTCTTCATCTCGTCTGAGTCTCTGAGTGCTTCACCAGTAGCGCATCGGACTCGCCGGCCCCAAAATGGGTGGCGCAGCGTGCTCGCATGCTCGCTCTCGCCTGAGAATGAAGGCGCATAAGCCACATAAAGTGCGGTAGCGGCGCCGAGAATGTTGCGCGTACCTGCAGCAACGTGCCTGCACATCGTTCTCCGCACCAAGCTATTGATCTGCTGACGACGATCAGCTTAATCATTGCTATCGGACCATGGCTGCCAAAACACGGGCAAATCAAGTCTTTTATTCACAATGACGTTGTGATCGGCTAGCCACCACTACGAATACGGAGCCGGTGGATAGAGTTCAATGCCAATACTACGTACTTTTTTGCGCCAACGCGAACAACGTGATCGTTATTGTGAGCAGGCTTGCATGAGAATCGCGAGAGGCTTATTGATTCAAGCAACATGAGATGAAAAGCATGTCGGTCAAAACCGCCGTCAATTTTCCTTGGTAGACAGCCGCGCCTGCAGCTTCAAGGGACCCTTCTAGGGGCATGGCTTCAAACTGATGACCTGTCAATCAACGGCAGACAGACTAATGCTCGGTCTCTTCTCGTCTCTCCGCGCTGGCCAGTTGGTTGGAACGCTTGTCAGCCGAAAACGTCTTTTGCTGGGACCAGATCTTTGGCTCTGTAGCTTGTCACCGTGTCGCCTTGTCTTTCGCATTGGACTGTAACATATGCGCAATCCTTCCCCACTGTGCTGAAACGACAGCTTTTTAGAAGCGTTGAGACTGAACTAATGAACTACCGAAGGGGGTGGCGATGGTGAGGACGATGCTTTCTGCATTAGGTTTTGACGCACCAGCAGCCCCTGTAAATCTGGTCGCTTACTGTCAACCATGAGCGCATCGCCAGAATCTTCTCTCCAATCGTGGTGGGTAAGGGAAATCTTTTTTGCTTGTTGCGCACAGGCTTTCAGGGTACTGTAAACGCTTCGATAGTCGTGATTTTCATCTCGCAGGTCGCAGGGGTAGAGGTGGCATATTGCGAATGTCAATCAAACAAACGCCTATCTGAAGTCAGACGTAAACCCTGACAAGTCCACGTGGAGTTTGGCCAGCTGCAACAAGCGAGCAGCGGTGCTCCCTCCGTCCCTTCAGACTGGTTGACAGCTGCGCCAAGTGGCTGCATGGCGCCCGTTCAACTCTCTCCTTCCGGACCAGCCGAGCTTCTGTGATAACCTTTATCGAGCAGCCACTACCAGCCAGTTGCGGTCGCCGGAACTCTTTGAGAAACAGGGCACACTGGGCGTCGGTAACTACTCCTACCTCGGACACAAACGCGAGCTAGGATTAATACGAGTTGCCCGAAGACGGCAAACCAAAAAGACAAAAATAATCATGACATGCCTTTGTGCGGTGCTTTGCATTCTCAGCCTAGTTGCCCACGAACAAACGTGTATACCCCGGCCAACCGATTCAGGATAGCAAGAGCAAAGTCATGCCTTGACCTCACACCGCCAGCACGGGCGCCAACAGCTGTGGACATTGTGGAGCGGAAAATTCTAGGGGGCTTCGAAATTGGGTAGAAGCGTCAAAGAAGCACGGGAGAAGGTCGGCATAGGCGCTAGATCTTCCTGCGCTGGAGGTCGGTGGGTGTGTCCGACGTTGGCAAATAGGCGACGTCGCAAATTGTGTGACGGAAATTTACTGTCAATGTGTCAGAATTTGCTCCCGACACGCACGGCAACAGGAACCGAGCGATGCCTGTTCCTGATGCGCTCGCAAGCAAACCCTCTTACAAGCGGTCCCAAGGCGGCGACTGATGCATGCCAGCCCTGCGCACCGTCAAGATGAAAAGGAGGGCTACGTTTCATTCCTCACGACCGTTCGCACTAGGCATGTCTGCTAGTAAGAGCACGGTAGTGGTCAGGGAATAAGTGATGTCAGATGAGCGCAGACACTTCCCGTGGGTCAATCATGCCTCGCTGGGCCTGCTGCCTTGCCTGGAGGATGATGCGTTGTATGAACGACATGCCGCGACGGCGACAATACTGCGACAGGATTGGATCAACGCGATCTTCACGCTGTCACGAGGCCGATGAAACGACAAGGCGGTAACGCGCAAGTTCGTGTTTCTTCTCCCCCTGCTCATTAAGTGACCAGGATCAGCGATGTTTCGGCGTGCTTTAGCTTATGCACAAGCCAGGAGCCACCCCTTTCCTGCTCATCAGCCCAACGCCTCTTTCACCGCTTGGGCCGTGCCATGCCCTGCCTAGCATTATTACACACATCGTCAAAGTACGTAGCTGACCGACATTTTGGGGGGTCTGCAATCTGAGCACAAACATAAATACGTTGACCCCCCACCATCGGAGTGTTCGTTTCATCATCCAGAGCCGAAGACTACAACACAAAGAGTATATCTCTATAGCCTACTACCACTACTACAACAACATCATCATCATCATCATCGTCGTCCAACGAAGTCTCCAACAACCTACTCAACACTTCCGCTCAACACCAGCCTAACAGCTCATACTCACAAACCAACACAATGGCCGCCACTATCTACGACGAGTCCATCATGGCATCGCAGAACCTCCCGCCTTGCCCTGGCCCACCACCAACCCGCCCTCTTCCTCCTGTCCCATCGAAATAGAGGACATCAACTCTCTACCTCGTTTTTGTCTTGTTCGACCTACACTTGGCTTTGGCGCATCTCAACATCGATATCAACTCCGCATCCTTAACCGAACATTCTCAACGCGACCCACCTTACTACTCTATCATCCGACATCGATCTGCACCTTGCCGCCTGGTATGCCGCCATCATGCAGTGCATCTGCAGCATCCAGTACTACCTGATCTTTGGCGCACTCTGTGCCTCAGACTCAGAACAACTCCTTGTCACTCACCTGACATCCGCCGCGATTTCCGGTTAAAAGCAGACTAAGCTTGTCTTCGGAAAGCGACTCGACGCCAGTCCACCTTGCATCGCAAGCCTCCACGTTATTACGCCCTGCTATCATGTGGCATTGCTGCATGTACCAGGATCCGCTCGTCTCACTTCCACCTGAGCCACGGCTACGATTGCATATCCCACACACGCTGGTTCGGGTGTCCGGAACGATCATTCTCTATAGACGCCTACTTTACTTTGGCATATACACATCACAGTCCTTCTAATATTGAGCGTATTATTTGCTTTAGACTTGCATTAGTTGGCGCTTGGGATTGGTTGTGTGGCATCATAGCATCATTAGTTCTTGGAGTTCTATTACTGGTTAGGCGGCATCATAGCCAGGAGGAATACCCAATATCGTCTCGTAGCATTAATTGTTTGATCTAAGATCAATTACGCTTATACTTGTTCTATTCTCGTCCACAGTGAAACTCGCATGCAGTTGAATTCAAAGTCCCCCTGTTCACTAATCCTTCGGCTTTCCCTTTCCATTTGGGGGCTAAAAGCCATGCTCAGTCGAGGACAAGCCTCTAAGGCATCTTCCAGGGCATCTTCCGATAGAGACGTTTGCCTAGAGACGTCGCCAGGTTGCCAGCGCGCGCGCGATAGTTCCCTTGCACACCACTTCAGCTAACCGCTAAGGCACATGGCTGTGATAGGATCCACCATTGCTTCACAAGCGCTGCAGCATGTTCGAGCGATCAGGTATGCATCCTCCACAATCAGGCACCTGTACATTGCAAGCGCTAGGCCATACACACGTGGGCTGTGTGACGTAGACTTGACAAGTTGAGTCGAGGGCCAATAAGTCGACTCGTTTAACCGTGTTGCATATTCAAGTGTCCCGCAGCTACCGAAACCTTCCGTGTGACCGGTTCACGTTGGAAATCACGGCACCACCCCGGCATGTGCAGGAACGTCGATACTTGCCGCAGCTTCAACTTGGAACACTAATCAGCAAGACGGATACGGCCTCACACCACGAATGCGAATATTGGCAGGGTCGTTCTTGGTGGTTTGGCTCGGTTGCGCTTACCTAGCTCCAACCACGGCCATGTAGCCGTTCAGGCACAAGTGCATGCTCTTAGGAATCCATGCCCTGCTTTCAGCTGAGGCAGATGACTCCTCTATACGCAAAGCCAACCACCAGCTGCATTGCTAGTCGTACGCAGACGTGCGACCACTAAGACGCTAGATTAACACCGTCCTTCACTACTACAGCTTTGCATGTTGCACGACCTCACCGCTCAGCAAGACGTGCCTGCAACTCCACAGCCGTTAGCGGTCTGCCAGGTTGCAATACACTATCTCCCGCAGGACAGTACCCCTCCATCAAACACCATCATCGTCAACATCAAGCAGCGCATCCCGCGGTTACGCACTAAGTGCCATTGTCGTGCCTACGCCGCAATCTGACGCCAATCTCCACTCGCTTGAGCGGGTCCGCCCACACCACGTTGGGGGCAGTCTCACCAAAAGTGGCAGCACCCTGAACGTGCTCGATCTCTGATACTCGGATGAGCATGCCGAATGTTCGCAGTAGGCGAACAGACACGGCTCGGCTTGCAACGTGTAGTTTACGCCTGTCCGAGCTGACGACCAGCCAGAGTCCTGCTCCTTGATGGCGCTCAGTAAGCAATTAGACTTTCGAACTGCGCCTTTGTCCTTCGTCCTCTGCTGTTGAAGCTTGAGTTATTGGCCCCAGACGACAAGGCTGCATTCCGGTCTGATGAATACGGACTTGAACAACCATGCAATCGGTCCTCCATGAGCACACAGACCTATCGCTTAGCTATCAAAACTCTCTCAGCACCGATCGTGCTAAGTAGGGCGAAGTGCACAGTCAGCCACGTCTGTCAGACGTTAATTCATCCTGCAAGACGCGAGGCATTCCATGTACGCCATCGGCTGACGCAGGCTGCGCGTTACCGTGCGTGCAACGTGTGGAAACCTGCAGTCGTCCTTCGATACATCAACTATACGCAAGCCAGTGCGCATCAATCACATGCCCACGCAACTCTTCTGTGTGCGTCCGAGTGCATGCATGCTGCTCAATCCCTGGCAGATCATTCTGACTCACGTCCGCAATTCCACAAACCACGTTCCTTTTTCGCAGATCGTGGGTCCGCGGGCAGAGCATGCAGCCTTACTTTGCTGGTGCCTATCACATCCCAGCGCTGGAAAAGCCCGCTGTCAATCCATCCACGCTGACGGCCTTTTTTTGGGGAACCTCTTCGGCGACTAGGTCACTCGACGTGAGTCACCTTCAGCGGTGTACCCAAGCTGTCACCGTTACGACACGGACGCCGTTGCGATTTGACCGTTGTCCCTGGTCACTATAACCAGGTCCTCGGATTTTGTCGCGCAAAAGGGAAAAGCCGTTGATTCTGTAACTGCCGGTTGCCGCTTGAAAACCCTTACATTTCTCACCGCTGTGTACCCAGTAGGTCATGTGGAGTCTACGACGCAGCATCTGTAAGGAGGATTTTCAATCTCGTGACTTGTTGTGTGGGAATTGCGATGTTCGCCTATCACACTCCTACTGGTGATCATTACGCAGAGTCACCACCAGCCAAGCATTGCGGCTGTAAGCGAACCGCGTTGCAGTAACTTCAAAGGAAGACCCCAGCACGGCAAACGTTGTGCCCGGTTGATCAAGCTCGGCGCAATTATTTTTCTTCTCTTTCATCTCGCCGAATGACACCGGTCGTCGTTGTAATACCTCCGTCACCGTAACCCTCACCGACAAATTTCCGTTGTTTTCGTGAAGATCATTGAAGCAAGTCTTGGACGAAATTTCTCTTACTCGCCTACTGCGGTGTGTGATACGCAATGCCTGCAAGATATAGTGCGACAACAAGGATGGGTGTTCTCCCTACACTTCGCTTGCGCAATCTGTTTCGTAGGCATTCAGGCATTCGTGGACAATACAATTCCACATCCACTCTTTCCCACACAATCGTGTGTGCTACCCTGTCGATCAAACAGCAGCGCCCTGAACATGCCGTTCATGCACGTCGTCCGATATGGCAAAGTGGATTCTCTCGCCACCACGCCTGACATCTGAAACCCTAGCCATTATTCGTGCCATGATGCCATGATTCAACATTTGCCACACTTCTTATCGCCGCTGTTACCGCTGGCCTCGGACATTGCTGACTTACATGATCAACAGAATTGGAAATCTTCCGCTCCAGACGGTGCCTCGGGCATTCGGTAGATGTTAAGGCGGTGCTTATACTCATTAGCCGAGTCAGCGAGGTTGAGGCGTGCGAGATTAGATTCAGCCTATCTTTCATGCATCAGAACATGCAGTCTCTTGGGCATGACTGCCACACTGTAAGTTCAACTAGTTGGACTATACGATATCGAAGCGGCTTAGACAACGTAAGCAACTAACACCCCACGCTCCAGACGCAAGATGCTGTGTCCGGCTGAACTTAAGTATATTAACTTCACTACACACCAAGTGCTTATGCTGGTCATCGATTGTCGGCATACTTGCTCGTATGATATCAATCTGAACTATTGAAAATGTAGACCTCTTGCCTCCCCTTAGCATTTTTGCTATGTTGACCATGGAATCAATCAGCAACACATGCTACTTAGCAGTTGAAGGCATCTTACTGTTTCGGGCGTACGAGCGGGCGCCAATCATTGACTTGGCCCCGCACCCCAAGCGCACTGCATGCGAGGCGCAAGTTTAAGGTAACGCCCCGTTACGAGTTGATAGTAAGCAATGGAACATCCTGTGTTTCTGTAGACGGAGATGTATTTCCTCTCCTTCAGCATCATACCGCCAAATCATCACTTTTTACATCACGCAGCCAATCGAAGATGGGACTTGTCGACTGGTTGAACTCCAGCGCTGAGTTTACCGAATGGGCCGCTGGACGCAAGCCAGTACCGAAGAATTCGGATGCATTACGTTTCGGTATCTTAGGAGCTGCTAAAATTGCGTATGTCCGCGCTCTGTTCTCTTTATCAACATGAGGAAGTTGAGATAGGATCTTGGAGCTAAATAGAATCGTTGAACAGTCCGATGGGTTTGATCATTCCAGCGCGCTCGCATGCAGATGTCATAGTCGCTGCTGTTGCAGCAAGAGACAGGACGAAAGCAGAAGCCTATGCGAAGAGGTGGGATGTTCCGATTGTTCATGATAGCTATGAAGGTAAGCGGCCCAGGTGATGACAATCCAGCAGCCCATAAGCAGCAATTACGGCCACTTCATGCTGCCATGATACCATGCTGATACATCGCAGCGCTGATCAACGATCCATCGATCGACTGTATATATAACCCTTTGCCAAACGGATTGCACTACAAATGGACGCTCGCCGCCCTCAAGGCAGGAAAACACGTTCTACTGGAGAAACCCTCCGTCTCCAATGCGCAAGAGGCACGCTCTCTCTTCCATCACGAGGTTCTCAAGGCTCCAAATGCTCCTGTACTTGTTGAAGCAAGTCACTATCGCTTCCACCCCGCCTGGTATGTCTTTCTAGCGCAATTCGAAAAGGCAAATATAGAGAAAGCAAGTGTTCGTGCGGGAGCATTCAAAGGAGCTTTCCCCGAAACGGATATCAGATATGACTACGATCTTGCTGGTGGCGCTGCAATGGACATAGGGCATTACACCCTATCCGCACTACGAGGTGTCTTCGGAGCTGAGCCTACAGATGTCACTTCTGCAACACCTAGTTTTTTTCATTCAACACAACATCAGCTCTGCGATCGAGCCATGGAAGCTACTTACACATTCCCCAACGGCGGTAGTGGTCACGTTCTGTCCGATCTAAGTGCTCGAGGCGGCTACTGGTTTCCGTGGCTAACATCAAACTGGCCAAATTTCAGTGACCTGCTTGCCTCGATCTCTGTAACTTTGCGCTCCGAGAACCTTGAAACAACTAATAATGGTCTACACAAGTCTAGCCAAAAGTCGCTTATGTTCTGGGGCTTCATGGGTCCGCACTCTTATCATCGCATCGATATTACCACCACGACTACTTTGCGCGATCCCTCTTCTGGCAAGATTGTCAAGGAAGAAAAGAAGACGGAGCACAAGAAGGCGTACAAGTGGCCGGAGGGCATGGGTGGTGAGAAAAAGGGTGAGGACTGGTGGGTTACGTATCGGTACATGCTTGAGGAGTTTGTGAATAAGGTTAAGCAGAGAGATGGGAGTGGTGCGTGGGTTGATGGCGAGGAGAGTATTAAACAAATGGAAGCCACGGATCGAACTTATGAGAGAGCTGGTATGTTAGTCAGACCTACTAGTAAGGAGATGGAGTAGGTGGTGAGGATTCTGGAGATGGAGATGCAGTGTTGCGTCATCATTTCTGTATCTGTGGTCAGATAAGGCTACTGGAGTTTGGTATACGAGTTCGTATGGCAGGGATCGGGCATTGAACTTACCATACCTAGGTAGCTCTATTGCCCAAGCATGTGCACATTCCAACTTGCATGCACTGCTTACTTCCAGAAATACCAATCATCCATACTTCTCAGGTATCTGCTGCATCGTGTGAGCAGACGCGTTGACGCTTTCCATAATGCGATGTATATAGGGTCCGCGCGCACCTCACTCGCACGAACACGATTAACACAATACTACCCATCCTTCAGAAAGCCTCACCACACGATAAGACAGTAAGCAAAGAGCTCTAAAGCAGAAGGCAGATACCAAGCAGCGACAAGCTTCTCCAAGCCTGCACAAGCCTTGCATCTACCTGCCTGTATAGGTATCGCCCGCTGCACGCCTTGCCCCGCTTTGAGGTACAAACGAACATGACGCGATGGTATAGCTTCGCGTCCTGCTATCCGGGAAGCCGAGCTTGAGATCTGTATAAGAGTGGTACGGTATTCCCGAAGTATTCCGGTACGTCCGCTGAGAAGCAACCATCAACATGAAGGTCCTGACCTTGGTTTACAGTTTCGTGGCTTTGGGGTCTGCAACTCCGGCTCCGCGCTCGGCTTCATGGCAGGGCAAGAGACAGGCTGCTGATGCGCCAGCTTATGCGGCACATACGATTGATCAACTGGTTTGTTGATGCGCTTCTGTTGATCGTTGTGCTCTAGCTGACCTTTGCGCCAGATTGATCATTTCCAGGATAGCGATCGCTATGTTCCTCACACCAATGCCACCTTCAAGCAGCGGTACTGTAAGTACAAATCTACTACGTGCATACTCAGCATCCACTAAACAATTGATTCAGTTTTCGACTCCTCTTACTACAAGTCCGGGGGACCAGTGTTTCTCTACATTGGTGGAGAGACGAGCGGAGAGTCGCGTTTCTCCAACTTGCAGACTGGAAGTAAGTGGTTACAGCAAAACCCAATCAATACGTTCGCACAAATCACTGACCGGGCTTCTAGTCATCCAGATTCTCATGGAAAAGTTCAACGGTCTTGGTGTCATTCTTGAGAATCGTTATTATGGTGAAAGCTACCCGTACAATTCTAGTACGACAGATGAACTGAGATTCTTGACTACTGAGCAGAGTTAGTGATGCAAGTATTCAGGCCATGATGCAAATGAGCTGACTTTGAATAGCAATTGCCGACAATGCCTACTTTAGACAGCATGCTACCTTCCCAGGTGTTAACGATAGTTTGAACAGTGTTGACACACCTTGGATTATGTATGGCGGTTCGCTTGCTGGTGCCCACACTGCGTTCACCATGAAGACTTACAACGACATCTTTGCTGGAGGCATTGGTAGCAGTGCCACTACCCAGGCTTTACTCGAATACCCTCAGTGGTACGATCCCATCATAAAGTTCGGTCCTGCAGACTGTGTATCCAGGATCATTGACATTGTCGACAAGATGGATGAACTTATCTGGAGTGGAAACAAAGAAGGCATCCAGCAATTGAAGGAGATCTTTGGTCTCGGCGCGCTGCAAGATCTGAGAGACTTTGCCATGACGATTGCATTCCCGATTGGTGGTCCGATGAATTATCCCACCAACACATGGCAAGAACTTAGTACGTAATGGTGTTGTTCAGGGTTTTTGTGAGACGTGCGCTGATCACGCTCTAGATTGGTCTCCCAAATATGGTTCTGAAGACTTCTTCAACTTCTGCTCCAACGTAACGAACATCAACCCGCCAGCAAACATCAGCAGCGTCGATATGGCGCTTGCCAAGTACTCCCAGGGCGAATCTTGGACTGGATTAGGTGGTTATGCCGATTATGTGAAGAAGACGCTCATCCCAAACTGCGAAAGTGGACGAATCGATAGCACGGACGAGGGCTGCTTCGGCACGCAAAACCAGACATACTATGCCGACCCCTCAAACGGTGCAGCACGCTCATACCTTTACTCGACCTGTTCAGAGTCCGGTGCTTACCAAGTTGCGCCTACGAACGGCCCATCTCTCATCTCCCGCGTCCTCCAAATTGACTACACCCAGCAGTGGTGCACCTGGGCCTTCCCACCTGGCGAGCATAATAGCATCCCTGCAACTCCCCAGTTGCACTACTACAACAAGTACGGAGGTTGGGACGTCCAAGCTGAGAATCTCGCTAAGATTGATGGCAATACCGATGTCTGGCTTGATCTATGCTACCATTCGAATCTGGCTCCTCAGCCCAGGATCAGTAGCGACAAGTACCCGAGCTACCTGATCGCGGGGGCCGGACATCACTGGGACAGCTATGGTATCAAGAACGTTAGCGCTGAGCCGGATTATATCAGGGAGGCCCATTATTGGGAGGAGAGGACTGTAAGTCGGTTCTTGCAGTTCTGGGCGGAAAAGGAACACTAGGTGGCGATGAACAGATCAAGCGTATTCTTCGCCCGCAGCTTCTTATAGATTATCGAAGACGCTATATCTGGCACTTCATGGCGAAATGCATTGATCAGTATGAATTTGACGTTTGCTTACTTTGCACGAAGACTGTGAGCCTCAATGTCCGCCCCACTATATTCTGCGAAGGCGCTTGGGCGAATGCGGGGTAGCTGAGGACCCTGAATTTGCCACACGAAGGTTGCGACTGGTCTTTTGCATATGATTCGCGGCCATGTCAGTTATCTATCAGACTGCCCCTACCTGTCTTCGCTGCTGCATGAAGCAATGGTCGATCCTTCGTGTCCAGTGTTCTAGTCCACTGGCTATGTGAAATGATACATACGCGTTTGGTCTTCGTTCGCCACTTGTGTGGGTCACCAGGGGCGCGCTAAACGGTTTTGTCACCGCTTCCAGTTACTTGGCTTCACAGCGACAGCCTCATACCTAGCTCGCTACAACTCTATCATGCGCTTCTGCCATTGACGTCCATCATAATCTTCACATTGGTTGATTCGTTCTTTACTTGTTCGGCAGTACAAGGCGCTTGTTGCCAATCTCTTCAGCGGGCACTTGTTTTTGCTATCGCAGTCATCACGCCATCACGGCACAACCCAACAACGATCTTACCAGGTCGTTGGCAAGATGGGCAAGCTGGCTTTCCCTCTCGATAAAGAGCTGACTGGTCCGGACCGAATTGTTCTGGAAATCCTACAGAAGGAGTACGAGTTACATGAGACCAGGCCTGCAAAATCAACGCTAGATACAGCAGAAGATTCAGATGACTCGGGTGTCAAACATTCCGAGATTGTGACGCCATCACCAGAGGGTCAGTGAATCTCTCCTTGAACCATCATGGCTGGTTCATATAACTAATATCTCACAGATCTCCAAGACCAGGAGCAGCAAGCCATCGCTTACCTCAAGAAGCTGAATGACCCCAAGTCTGATAGTTTCGAGACCACTGTGTGCAGCACTGTCGATGATTCGGACATCAAGAACCCTCTTCTTCGCCAATGGATCATCGATCCCTACATTCGATGGGCAAAGCAGATTGTACGAGTCGAGACCGATGTCATTATGGTTACGCATTTGCTGCTTTACTTCTGCACCAGCGTCCCATCAGCGATCTATCTGTACATCAACTTCCACTGGTGGCACGCTGTGCTTCATTGCGTCATGCAAGGTTACTACATGGGACCATTCACGCTCCTGAAACATCAGCATATTCATATGCGTGGTGTTCTTAGCAAGAAGTATGGCTTCATCGACCGGCTATTCCCATACATTCTCGATCCAATGATGGGCCACACTTGGAACTCATACTACTACCATCACGTCAAGCATCATCACGTTGAAGGCAACGGACCTAATGACCTGTCTTCTACTATTCGATACCAGCGGGACAGTGTTTGGGACTTTGCGCAATATGTTGGCCGGTTCTACTTTCTGATCTGGCTCGATTTACCCATGTACTTCTTGCGCAACCGCAAGCCTAGTCTCGCGCTCCAAGCGGGTGCTTGCGAAGTTGGCAACTACGTCTTCCTGTACATGATGTACAACTTCGTCAGCGCTCGTGCAACGACATTCGTGTTCTTGATTCCTCTGGCTTTCATGCGCCTGGCTTTGATGACTGGCAACTGGGGCCAGCACGCTTTCGTTGACGAGGTCGAGCCGGACTCTGACTTCAGGTCAAGCATTACACTCATCGACGTACCCGTAAGTCTGCATTGATTCTTGCTTGATTAGGTTCGAACGCACCACTTACACTACAACAGAGCAACCGCCACTGTTACAACGATGGCTATCACACATCTCATCACCTCAATCCGCTCCGCCACTGGCGGGAGCATCCAGTTGCGTTCCTCTCACAGAAGAAGCAGTACTCTGACGAGCACGCAATCGTTTTCTATAATATCGATTACTTCTTCCTTACGGTCAACCTGCTAAGAAAGAACTATGAGCACATTGCTAAATGTCTTGTACCTATGGGCGATCAGATGCAGCTTACGCTCGACGAGAAAGTCGAGATGCTAAAGCGCAAGACAAGAAAGTTCTCGGAGGAGGAGATTGCAGAGAAATGGGGCAAGCAGTACGCTAAGCTGAAGTAGATTGTACTAGTAATTTGACGAGGACTGCTCGATTTACAGGATCCATTTGTTTGTTCAGAGAATGTCTATTATAATCAGGCATGTGTTCATGGCACCTGTGGTAACAAAGTGCTCGTATGAAGGTTGATTCCCGTTGTGCTTACCCTGTAACTCCACGTATTGACCTGTAGCACCTGCCGCAGCGCATTCGATCATGATACCGCACGATCCAAACCTCGTTCTTTTGCCACCTCATCGCAACGACTTCCCTAAATTTATCATTATTGTACTTCCAGCAATGGCAAAATCCCAGCGTTTACCGTTTGAACAGAGCCTGTTTGTTACAACGCCGAACAAGATTCATTTGAGGACACAGCTTGCTCGCGAAACGCTGTTCGAGTGCGAGACCGCTAACGGCATAGTCAACGCTCGTGCCTCGAAAGATAACAGTAGCCTGTTCGCTGTAGCAGACGGTCAGGTTGTGATACTACACGATGCTTCGCGAACCAAGGACAAGAAATACAAATTGAAGAGTGGTGATGTATGGCATCTGCCCTAATGACGATACGGTCTACAAACTGACGATAGCACAGGGCGAGCCACGTCTTCTTCTCTTCTCACCCGACTCACGCACCTTGTATTTCACGACGACGTTGAACAACTCAGTTCAAGCCTATTCCATCCCAGATGACAGGCTTCTGCCTTCCTTGCCGTCGCATCCGTCTCCACCGAACGTGATCGCGATATCCAATAACGGTACTGTACTTCTTTCAGCATCACCGAACCCGACGACTATATACCTTCAAGACCAAAGATGGGGACACAGCGCGCCTGTAGACTTTCGTCCAACAGATACCCGCTACTCTGCTACCTGTGCTGCGTTCCAAAAATTGGATGGTCCCGCGCAGCCTTCATATACGAACTTTGTGATCGGATTCCAGGACGGGTTACTAGCGATGTATCGTCTTTTCCTGCCTTCACTCCGAAAGCGGCCCGAAGATTCGCACACAAATCCATTCCAGTTCTACCAGTTACAGCCTGTCCGAGTAGGTGTCATCAAGAAGCTCCACAAGCCTGCCATGGGTGGTGTACTCGCAGCGCAGTTCATACCGGGCTACAAATCGCGTGTTGTTAGCATTAGGTATGATGGAAAATGTCGACTTGTTGACTTTGAAGGGGGAGGAGAGGTACTCCGGACATAGTATGTCTCTTATCCCGCTACTTGCTTGTCGGTATCCACGAAAGGCTCTGTACACTCGAAGGGAAGAGTAGACGGGATGGTGCTACTGGGAGGCGACGCGGCAGAAGATGCCGGAGATGTCTACGAGGGCTTTGAGACATTGATTGCTATTGGTACACAGGCTGGAAAAGTTCTTGTTTTCAACGCCCTGGGCCTACTGATATATGAGATCACTGTGGGTGTGTCTATCACGGCTGTTGAATGGGTCAGCAACATGGCCGCGCCTTCGATTCTTCCGACTCGCGGGTTATCGCTGTCCCCCAAGCCTCGTTCCGTCGTCGATATTGTGGATGCGGAGGGATCAACTCCTTCTGACGATGAGACCGGTACTGTCAAGAAGACTAGATCACCCCGCAAGTCAGCTTTAACAAGAAAACCGGCACCTGTTGGGCCACCGCCGGATCTGTTTTCCGATGAGTCTAGGAAGTTCAAGTCGAGAGTTCCCAGTCGCAGAGCCTCGGATGTGTTGAGAGGCTCGCCTCTCCGCGTTGAGAGAGTGCGCAACAAACACGTGAAAAAGCCATCCGTACGACCACGCATCTCTGTAGAGACATTTCAGTCGCCTCCAGAACCTTCGCCGCACAATTCATCTCATGTCGGCGCCGCAAAGTCTCTATCCAAACCTGATCCTCCAATACAAGAAAGTCGGAGATGGCCCGAAGTACATCAGATGCCAAGTGTACCAGCCCCGTCGCGGGCACAGCTCTTTTCCGCTCCCCATAGGTCGCTCAGCTCCTCTGAAGATTCGCACTTTTCGGATCAAGAATGGTTTACACCTCCTTCCACGCGAAGACGCAAGCCAAAGGCGTCACAGCGTCATATGAGTTCAGAATCACCACTGATTACCTCAACTTCAACGACGATCCGTCCAGTGCCCTTCCCACAGTCCTCTCCCACTGCGTTCAACACACCAAGTAGTCTGCACTCTTGTCCAACATCCGGCATGATGAAGGGGGAGTCTGTTGAACATCAAGAGACTGCGGCGAAAGTACCGAGCGGGTCGCGGATCGTGCAAAAAGTCCAGCGACACGTAACTATAGCCGATCCAGGATCGTCGTCTCCTTTTGGTAGCTCGAGCAGTCTGTACTCCCGTCCCACCGCTCAGATGCTTCAGAGACCTTCATTGAGCAAAGCGCGAGAGCTTGAATTAGATCTGAGTTCTACCCTCTCAGATAGACCTAATCTTCCAATACCGAAGCCTCCTCTCAGAAGAATCAACTCAGAGTCGGAATCGCGCAGCAATGTATGTTCATGCTCAACGCCAAGCACGAGAAGAGACTCGGTTGCCGATGAGAGCGTGAACGACATGGCAGGCCCGAGCAAGATAATTTCTAGATCAAAAGCTCCCCGAGACCACGCATTCGCCACGGCCGCCGCCGCCACCACAGCAGCAGACTCTTCATCTTCGCTCGAAAGCCTCTACTACCCCGCGCCCGGCCTCCTAGCTAAAAGTAATCTTTTCCAAAACTACAACCATCGCAACCTAACACCAGTTCTACCACGGCAGCCCATGACGAACTCGCTTGACACGCGAGCAAATTCACCTAGCAGCGTATACTCCCGCTCCATCTCAGGCGCGGTCAAAGACACTGATCTTGTCGATGCTGGCCTTGCCGAAGGTACCGATCGGTCGGTAACTTCTTCCAACGCACCCACTCCATCACTACCACAACATCATCAACTCAGTATCCATGCCTTGAGTACCCCACTATCCAATACCTCGCCAAGTACTTTATATTCACTCGCTCCACCAGGCACATTTTATGATCGTTCGCATGCTGTTAATAGACCGTCTGTGAAGAAGTCGGATGAAACAGGTTTAGCCAGTGTGAGCAAAGAGGCGAAGTCCGTAGCAGAGGAGATGAAATGCTTGTCTGAGGACCAAAGGGCGTTGAGACAGGAGGTCGCGGCTTTGAGGGAAGAGTATCGGGTTTTGGAGGATATGTTGTTGAAGCCAAAGGCAAAACTGGTGGTGTAAGGTAAAAGGCGGGCGTGTCGTTGCGTAGCATTGTCCAGCCCCTGCTGTCTATCCTTGGGTTTGGTCTCTTGTAACGTACCAAATCAAAGTTGTCGTCCCTACAACCTTCCTAAATCCCTTCTACTTTGAATTGCACGACTCATCCACCTCAAACCCACCCTCCGACTCCCCAAACCCCCGTCCTCCTCTTTCCCTCTGGTCCATTGCCACTACCTCCACTCATCAAATTTCTCTCTTCCTCGCCATCGGTATAAATACTACCTCTGACACTCCTCCTCTTACTTATTCCACTACTATCATACCCATACCCTTTTCGCCCTCGCTGTGTAATCTGAGTGTCCTGCTCAACAACCGCCTTTGCCATCTTCCACAACATCCACGTCTGGCACGAGATCAACACCAGCAGGAGTAGAAGGACGATGAGAATGGCAAAGGCGATGAAGAGGAAGAGCACGGTTTCATCGTCGCGAGGAGAGGATGGGTTGAGGCTGCTGCTACCCATTGTGCTTGGCCTGTGTTGTCGATGAGAAGGAGGGGATACTCGCTAGGCGTGAATATGTGGAGCCGGCGATGAGTAAAGGGAAGGGAAGAAAAGAAAAGGAGTTGAATGATTTTGAGTTGTATTTGGTCCTCGGAAGTTTAGCAACTCCCGATTGCTGGGTGGGGGTGCGGACCGATTGATAGGCAACGTAACGCGTTGTTGCAGATCTGTTTCAGGGATACGAGAACACGACGGGAAGACCCATGTTGACAGTTCCCGTCCAGCGTTCAACGTTGGGGCCACGCAAGGGTCCAAAACGTTTAACCAGCATCCTGGGAGACAACATGCTCGTACAAGGTTCTTTCACGGATGCAGTGATGTAAATGGAGAGGAAGGAGTTCTGATCTTGTTGTTGTGATTGATGATAAAAAAGGAGAATCTGTACAAGATAGAACAAGGGTCATTATACTACTTCTTTTCCCCGTGACCGGAACTGGAACCCAGGCACCGTGCGCTATGCAATACACTGCGATATCGTTACCACCATTTATCCTATCAAACAAAGCGTTGAAGCCAGGTCGTCGAGTCGTAAGATAGCAAATGCCAGCGCCGGATATATCATGACAAACGAAACAATCTGTTTTCCAAAGTAATGTGTCCAAAAATATAAGGGAGAAGAAAAGACAAGAATACTGCTCTGCAGTGACAGCAACAACATAGGACCCAAATATGATCTGAACCTGCAAAGTGGTCAAGCGAACTTGCAATCATCAGCTACTGCACTCTATGCAGCAAGTGGCTCCTCTGCGTTGAGCTCCTCGTCTTCAACATTCTCGTCAACGCCGAAGCCGGAGTCCCATTGACGCCTAGAAGAGACCTTCTTCTTGCCCTTCTTTCCAATCTTGACCTTTTCGCTGGTCTTCAAGACCTTGCCATTAGCGACACGGTGGAGGTCGCCCACGCCTTGGGTCTTGACTTCAACACGCTTGAGCTTCATTTCTTGGACGGCTTGGAGAGCGTCCTGGTTGCGGCGCTTCAAGTCATCAGCAAGACGCTCATTCTGCTCCTGGAGTTGACGTTGCGAGACAGTGAGGGCGTCGATGGTGGCACGAGTGTCTTCTTCAGCAAGACGGAAGTGTTCCTTCATCTCCTCGATCTGGGCCTCCAGAAGTATAATGGTCTCGAGGCGAGCTTCACCTAGCAGACGCATCTCTGTGAGCTCAGTTGTACGCTCCTCAATCATCTCCTCGTACTCCGTAGTGCGCTTCGCAGAGGCATCTTGAAGGCTCTTGATGGTGGCCTCTTGTGTCTTGATGACAGCATTAAGGGCATTGACCTCGTTAGCGTGGGCGTCGACAATGTTCAGAAGCTCGTTGGCCTCGGACTCAACACGCCTTGAGAGAGACAAGTTCTCCTTGCGGTAGCCTTCGTTCTCCGCCTTTTGAACCGTTAGGTCCTCCTCAAGAGAATCGATCCTTCCCTGGAGGGCAGTCGTATCCTCAAGGTAGATGCGCTCCTTCTCAGTGACCTGATCGAAGAGATCATTTATCTCAGCTTGTTGCCGTTGGATCTGGTTGTTAAGGTCTGTGATGTTGGCCTGGAGTGAGGTGATGGTAGAGTTGGTGGAGTTCTCCAGCGCCATGTACTTGGTCTTCAGGTCAGCGAGCTGAGCAGCAAGGTTGGCGACTTGGACGTCACGATCCTGCTCGAGCTGATCGCGAGCATCGGTCATGTCAGACAGGTTGTTCTCAAGTGTCGCGATATCACTCTCAAGGCCGAGGATCTGCTGTTCCAACTGACCAATTGTGTTCTCCTTAGTCTGACGAAGCTCAGTCTCTGCATCGAGCTGGTTGTTCAGTTGAAGCTCGCGCTCATCGGCGTCTTCTTGCAGCTCTGCCAGAGCGGTCTCCTTCTCTTGTTGGAGTTGGAAAAGCTTGGATCGCAGCTCATTAGCCTGAAGGCCAGTGTCGTGGAGGCGGGTGGTGAGATCTTCGATCTTGTCATTCGCCTCGTCAAGATCAGCCTCGGTCTTCTCGCGTTGAGCACGTTCAGAACCTAGATTCTCTCGGGTGTTGGCAAGCTGTTCCTTGAGTTCAACGATGGCCTCGTTGAGATTTTCAATGGTGTTGGCGTGCTGGTAGACCTGCTCGATCTGGTCATCACGCTCGCCCTCCGCAGTCTCGCGGGCGGCGGTCTGCGCAGCCAGACGCTCTCTGAGAGTAGTCATGTCGGTGGTGATGTTATCGACATCGGTCTCCATGCGCGCAATACTGTCCTCCAACTCCTCGATGTAAGCATCTTTTTGCTTTACTTCGGCCTCGGCAGCATCGCGACCCTCCTGCTCAGCATCGAGGTTTGCCTCCAGAGCCTGGATGCGCTCGGTGTATTCCTGTTCCATGCGTGCGATCGTTTCGTGATGGTTTGTCTCGAATTCGGTTGCGGCGGCGGTGACGTTGTCGAGATCCACACGATACTTTTCGAGAGCTTCGCGTAGTCGTGCCAGAGAGACGTCCTTGTCTTGGTTCTCATCTTGCAGACCAGCGATTGCGCTGTCTTGTTCGGCGAGAGTGAGTTCCTGTTGGTTAGAAAGTTCCGTCAGGGCAGCGTTACGCTCCTCGAGATCAAGAATGGCGCGCGCCTTGTCCTCATTTGCCTTGTCAAGTGTGAAGACGTCTGACTCTAACTGCTTCACGCGCTCGTCTGATTCGCCCAGCAGGTCGAGAACACCCTCATATTGTCGTCGGACAAGCACTTCAGCCTTTTGAGAGACACTGATTTGAGAGAGCTGCTGCTTGAGCTCGAAGAAGAGGCCGCTGAAGAGCTCAGGAACCTTTTGAAGAAGTTGTTGGTTGGTAAGACCAACGGTGGTACCGGGGAAGAACTTCTCAATCTCAGCGCGAAGGTCCTCGAAACCATGGCGCAAGTCGGTCAGAATTTCGCTCGAAGAAGCACCAGCCTCAATGAAGCGAAGATTCTGAAGCTCGATGGTGATCAAGCGCAGCGCACCTTGGGACTCACCCAAGGCTTTGCTCATCTGCTTCAGCTCCCGCTCGTAGCGCTCGACGGCCTCGTCTTCGATCTTGTCCATTATGATATCCTCGCCTTCGGTGAGATTGTCACGGCTGAGTTGCGATAGAGATGGCAGGGATTCGAGTGTCATCTGGCTGGAAATCTCTAGCGCGCGGGAAGAGTACTTGCCAACGGGTGTCGGCTCCATGTCAAGATCTTGCGACATGTTCAGGTCGTCAGGGTTGACCATGACCATACCGTCTTCGTCATCCGATATGTCAACTGGTTCATTGTCGTCACCGTTGTACAGGGAAGAAGCGCGTAGCTCGTCAATCTGTTGGCGGGCCTCGTCTAGTTCCACTTGCAGGTCATTGGCGTCTGCGTCTGCGATGTCGATCTCGCCTAACCGGCGGGCTTCGAGGCGGTACTCCAGGTCCTTGATTTTGTCATCCTGGGCCTTGAGCTGACGACGTAGCTCCAGGAACATCCGCTTGTCCTTCTTCTGGTGGTCTTCGAAGTCGTTTACCTCCTGGCTCAGATGGCTTCGGCGGAGGCGGCGACGCGCGCGGCCATCCAGGACTTGTGTGAGGGGCGCAAACTGAACGCGGTTGCCGTTGTTCTCGACCTCGTCGACACGCTCAACGTGCAGCTGAGCTGGCATTGACATGCGGGCGCGGCGGGTGTTGGTAAAGCGGCTGCGGGAGGCACCGACACGGTCGAGATGGGGTGTCAGGCCAGGTAGCGGCTGTGTGGAGGCGGGTCGGTTGAACATGAGCTCGTCGTCGTCGTCATCGGCGGCGACTGGAGGCTCAGAGTGTCGGCGGTTGTAGCGGCGCGTGGTACTGGTGCTCTGCTCCTGGACGTGAAGGTTGTCTCCCCGCTGCGAGCGCGAGAAGGACTGGCGCATCTCTTCGGCGATCTGGTCCTCGTCATCGTCCTCGATGGTCTGGAGGCGCTTGGTGCGCTTGGTCTGCGAGAGCTCTGCTGAAGGAGACGCGGTTCGTTTTCCGACGGATGACATATCGTCGGTTGTCTGATTCTTAGACGGGCGGCCGCGTTTGCGTCGAGGAGCGTCACCGGGGCCCTCGTGGTGGTGCTCGGATGGGAGGCCACTGAGGCGTGCCATGGTTGAGCGGGTCGAAGGGGATTGAACTGTGACTGCCTTTAGTACGCGGTGCCTGACAAACAAACAACAAAGGCTTTGCGAGGCGGCGGCGGCGGCGGTGAATTGCTGCGACACGTCGTGTTGTTGGAGCTCGCGTACCTGGCCAAAAATTCGTCAACAGGGCAGGATCGTCCAATGGCCCGTGATTGACAACAGCGAACGGTTGCAGCTGGTGCCAGGGGAGGGTGCGGTGGGAATGGTTGTAGTGGGGGTATATGGAGAGAGAGAAAGGCAGGGCCAAGTTTTGATATATTCAAATGGGTTGGGTAGTGGGCGAAATGGGGTGGTTGGGGTCGCGGCTAGCTCTTTGCTACGTCAATGCGAGCTTGCGGTGAGTCGAGGCCCCTAGTCGTCCAGCTTTCACGCTAACCTCCGCTGACGTCGACGCGACTACCGCCGCCATCTACGCGTTTTCACCACACTAGCAATCTAACATCTGAAACAGGCCGTGAACCGGTTTGTTCTTTCCCAACCGCTGCGCAGACGAGCCTCTGTCGCGTCGCTATACACAGAGCCAGACGTCATCGCCACCTATTCACGTACTACAGTGCGCCTTCGAACCTCGAGCTAGCTGATCTTCATTGTACTAGAGTCTAGACGTGCAGGCAGCTGTCAGGGCAACAGACGGCCCGGACATGGACTACTATGCTTTTGAGGCGTGGGCCGATGCAATGGATCTCCCCATGCATTCTCCGATCACATCTCCAGCCACGTTTGCTATCACCGAAGCGCTGTTACTTCTTCAACAGGAAGTCACTCTCGAAAAACAACCCCTTCGTTGCGCTTGCAACTCCGTACAACCCTCCCAGAGGCCATGTATCCCAAAATTGCCGGTATGCCCAGTCATTCCACGTTTCCGTCTTCCTCACGCTTGCTCCCCCAGCAACGCCTTGCAGATCAACTTTCACTTTGTCGTAGACACTTGGCAAGCTCTCGGCATGGTACTTTCTCCGTAGCTCCATGTACTTCTTCTCGTCGTAGATGTCCCAGAACTCTTGCTCCGTGTAGTACGCATGCGCATACAGACATTTCATGCCGCCTAACTCGGTGACTTTGGCTTCAAAATCCCTGTTCAGCTTGATGAATGCGTGAGCGTCGCTTGGTCCCATGTCCCATATCCCCACGTCAAGCAGAATGTCGTCCTTGACATTGTTGCCTTGGGAGAAGCTTCGCTCCCCGAGAGGTGCTGATTTCACCGGACACAGCCAGAGCGGCCAAATGCCCGTCCTTTCGTCGGTCCATCTAACAAACTCGTCTGCTGCGTCATATGGTACACCATAGTCCTGAATGATTGTTCGGGAGGCGAGGCCCGATCGATGTAGGGCATGTACCATTGTCCGCGAATACATGAAGGGATCCAGCAAGAAGCGCGTAACACGATTGAAAGGCGTTACGAAGTACTTGAATGCGCGTAGTCCTGACCAAAAGACACCTCGGTCGTAGCGGAAGAGATAAGATTGAACAGGCACTAGTTCCCTGTATGTAGTCTTCTCGCTCTGTGTCCGCTTCAGTATTTCTTCCGCGTGCATATATAGCCAAGGATCTGTCGCTTTGTCGAAACTCTGGATTTTCCTATCCATTGGGGCGTCGGTCAAGCGGCCGATCATGATTACTCCGCTCGTCATCGAATACAGGATACCGTCCATGTAGTCAACCTCCAGGTCATTTTGATAGTGTCGCAACTGTTTGACGGCTTCGTTCGTTGAGCCGACTGGGATGTACTCCAACTCAACATACCGACAAGCATCAATAAGCTCCATTTTGAGCAGGGTAATGACGCCCAAGCTGCCGCAACTCCCCGCTGCTGTGAAAAACAGATCGCGATGCTCTTCTGCTGATGCCCATACTACCTCGCCGTTACCCAAGATAAGCTCGATGCCCGAGATGGTGCGGTCAAACAGTCCATACTTGTATGAACTGCTTTCGCCACTGGTACCAGCAAACCTGTCAACACTAGTTAGTCCTGACACGGAGCAATCTTTGTTTAGATCTCTGTAACTTACCCACCACCCACGGTAATGTTCGGAAGTTCCATAACGACCTTTGGCAAGAAACCTTTAGCCATTGTGGCTTCTACAAGCTTATCCATCGGCACGTTCGGCTCCACAAGAACCGTCTTCTGAAGCTCATCAAACTCTAGCACATGGTTAAGGGAACCAACGTCGATAATCTGATTGCGATCACGGGACGATTTCCGGGTTGATAGCGTAGAGCCATGATATATGCGAAACGGGGTTTTCGAGGCACTGAACCGGGCGACCTGCGATGCGAGTGTTGCTACTGTTGAGTTGTGTATGTCCATGGTGTGAATGTAATGATAGAATGCTATGTAACGATGTTGTTGGCGATTCGAGGATGAAGAGAACATGGCGTCGCATTACTTTTGATGTACACATAAGCGTAGGGCCGCCGCGCCTTCTCCACTACCCGTTTGATCCTGCTAAAGTCAATATCTGACCACTCGCGTCGGGCCAAGAACTACTTTTGTGCGGGGCAAAGGATCGATATATGTTGCTTTCTGGGGATTCCATATCATTGGAGATATCTAAGTTTGGTAAACGTAATTCAGAGCAGCCTGAATCGCAGTCGGACGCGCGAGTGTCGCTTTCCGTCTTGCGGACGATGGAATCGCGCGCTCCCATGGTGACCGGAAGCGCGGAAGACGATCCACTCGCTAAGGTCGCTGACGTACGGCGTTCAGAACGACTACCCAGTTCCACGGGTCTTGCTTGCGTATACTATACGACAGAAACGATCAATGGATGGCTGGAGGTGGCTGATAGACTTCTGGCTCATTTTTTCCGCGATTGCAGAAGCAGAAGCAAGGACTGGTGGTTTAACCTGGATTCGTGGGGCAAGTTCGACCCACTGCTAGCGCAACTTCTTCAGCCTCATCAGCCACGCATCAAGCAGGGAGCCAATACTAGGAGCTTTGCACTCACAATCGCATCGCTGCAGTTGGCTCTACACGATCTTTCCGGATGGAGCAACACAAAGCTACTGTAGAGACAGTCCGCTCTCGCATACAGCATTTCTACAACACCAAAACCGGGTTCCGAGTCTACCATGGCAGCACCAATTCCACTCGCCATGCTAATTTCGACCAAGATTCCATTGTCGATGTCAGCTCCCTCAACCACGTTCTTTCCATTGACAGAGAGAAGAGAATAGCGCTTGTCGAACCCAATGTCCCCATGGATGCCTTGGTCAGAGAAACCATGAAAGCGGGCTTGCTGCCTCCAGTTGTCATGGAATTTCCAGGCATTACCGTAGGAGGAGGTTTTGTGGGCACAGCAGGAGAAAGCAGCAGTTTCAAGCACGGCTTCTTCGATCGTACTGTCCTAAGCGCTGAAGTGGTCTTGGCAGATGGCACGCTTGTCACGGCTTCTCAGACCGAGAATCAAGAGCTCTTCGAAGGTCTGAGAGGTAGTTTTGGAACCCTCGGGGTACTCACATTGGTGGAATTGCAGCTCATCCCTCTGCAAAAGCTAGTCGAGGTCACCTACCACCCAACATTTTCCTTTGAGAATGCCACAGACAAGATGCAATACCACACCACCGACCAAAGGAACGATTACGTTGATGGGGTCTTATTCTCCAAAGGCACCGGAGTCATAGTCACAGGTCGCCTCGTTGACGCAGAACATACGCCTGGGCTACCTATTCAACGATTCTCTAGGCCCTGGGACGAATGGTTTTGGATACGCGCGAAGGCGCTTGCATCTAAGGGTATTATTACAAAGGAACTTGTTCCGGTAGAAGACTACCTGTTTCGTTACGATCGCGGGGCCTTCTGGATGGGCATGTATGCTTACAAGCAGTTTATGGTCCCTTTCATGCGGTTCACACGCTTCTTGCTGGACTACTTCATGCACACACGAATCATGTATCACGCGTTACATGCCTCTGGGTATACGGACCGTTTTATAATCCACGATATCGCATTCCCGGCGGCAAACACTGCATCGTTCTTGGATTACGCGGACCAATCGTTCAATATATATCCGATCTGGTTGTGTCCACTGCGACAGGATGGCAGAAGCTCTATGGGACACCCTAAGCAGTTCGAGGGTCCAGTCGGCGGAAAGCAGATGGGTGCATGCGACGGTAAATATATCAGTGTTGGAATCTGGGGACCATATCCATCCAGCGAGATTGAGTATGTCCGCGCAAATCGCGAAATCGAAGCAAAGATGCGCGAGCTTGGTGGACTCAAATGGTTATACTCGCGTGTCTTTTATACTGAAGACGAATGGTGGCAAGTCTACGACAAGCACGGGTACGATGCTCTCCGTAGCAAGTACAACGCAGATTCCCTGCCAAGTATATGGGACAAGGTCAAAGATAGGGGAAGAAAGGAGGAATTCGGTCCAGGTCTGAAGGGTATGTTGAAGCGGATCGTGAAGAGCAATGACCTGTTGAGTGGGCTATACGGCATCTACAAGGCGGTCAAGGGCGGAGATTACATGTTGAAGAAGAAGGTTTCCTAGGAGAAACTGGTTGAATGTTCGCTGTATGTTTCTCGGAATTGCATGTAGAACGATTTCGGTTAGCGCCATCCCTCAAACGCATCGCTACTTTCCCTATCTCCCCTCGCCTCACCTACTCTTTGCCTTCCCCCTTTCCGCCAATTACAAAAACCATTTTCTCTATTGCAAATAATGGGTTTTTGATGGAACGCACGATTGTGATCGTCACGGAAGCCTTGCTGCCGTCTAGGAATAATGATGACGTCTTAGCGGTCGGACTCCTTCTGCGATCAGGGCGCGGGAATTCCAAATTCTTAGCGCAAATCAACGATCAACACCACGGACACGGCAGACGTGCTCAATGACATCTCAACGTGAATGTATAAGCAACAACGTTTGGGCAATCTCGGCATCGAGACCTTCGAAAATGACGCCTTTGTGTCCAATCACAGCGCATCTTCATCCTCGAACCTCGAAATCGTTCCGACTATACATGCCCATGCAGGTTGTGTACCACTGGTACTTCCGGACACCACCACGAGCACATGGGCAGAGGTAATGAACGATAACTTGGGCTGCAAGGATTCCCTGCGTGTCCGCCAAAACTACCGCTCAAAAGCACAAAGTGGCTGACCAACCCGCAGCGTGAGGAAGCTGTCCGGTGAGGCTTCCCGTTATCTTAATACGTCCTACGCATGTGCTGTTGACGTCTTCTAGAACGGAAGATCGCAATGTACCCGCTTGTGGTAGCTTCCGCTGGAGTGGGAAAGTAGTCTCCACATACTAGAGCTAGCGCTCGAAGAGCTTCATCGATTACTCAATTCAGCCTATGATGCCATAGGAATATCCGCTGCTAGGCCGAAGCTGCGCCCGATTTGAGAATTTACACTCTGGTACCCCACGATTTCACAGTTTCGGATGTTGTCTTGCCGCATTAGCTGCCGATTGAACATGCAAACGGTTTCTCACGGTACTTTGACCAAAACGCCGGTAAGTGACTATTGGTTGCACAACGTCAATTTGGATGGCGAACCGCTGGATAACGCTATGGAATCTTCCGATCGACGAGTTCGTGCGCTATGACTTTACTGATGGCTCCTATTTGGAAGGGCCGGAAGGAAAAGGCAGCTAGTCGCATGCTTACACGGCCACGTACTATATAGTCAGGCAGCCACATTTCATCGCGGTGAAGGTAAGCTCTATTCAGGTCGTGTTTCACCTAGTCAATTGAGCGAATATTTCTTTTCTTTCTTTGTCTCCTCCCCTGGGTAGTGATTACTCCATATTACGCACAACCATGGCTCCAGTCAAAGCAGTTTTACCCCTTGCCCTCGCTGGTTTCGCGGCCGCGAAGCAATGCTCGACCTTCATGATTGAGACGTCGATTAGCTCGAGGCAAGGACAGTTCAAGGAAGTGCCCGTCGAAGGCAACCTCGAGGTTGGCGCATTCGTTGCTCGATTTAATCAATTCGGCAAGAATTACACAGCAGAGCTCCTTGAGGGTTACCAAACGTTGGAGGGTACCTACAATATCTCCGCGCAGTACTGTAAGCCAGACAGTGGCAACGGCAAAACCATCCAGCTCTTGAGTCACGGCATTGGTTTCGACAAGACATACTGGGACCTCGAGTACGACAACTACAACTACAGCTATGTTGATGTGGCCCTGGCTGCTGGCTACAGTACGCTCGCGATCGACCGTCTAGGTATCGGTCTATCTTCTCATGGAGACCCATTTAACGAGTAAGTGGGAAACGCAACTCGTTCTGCATAGTTTACTGACCATTCTCTTTTCTTATCAGGATCCAAGCTCAAGCTGAAGTTGAAGCTCTCAACTCTGTCACTACGCAACTGCGCAAGGGCGAGATCCCAGAGATTAGCTGCGCATACGACAAGGTCATCCACGTTGGTCACTCCTTCGGTAGTGTCCAGTCCTACTGGCTGTCCGCTCTCTACCCTGAGAACACGGACGGTGTTATCCTTACTGGTTTCTCTGTAGCCGGACAATTCCTGGCCTACATTACTGCCGGATGGAACCTGCACAGCGCTCGCCTTAACCAGCCTCTGCGCTTCGGAAATTCCTCGAACACCGTCGTCCGCGCTATCGCTGACCAGTATGATGTGAGCGAGAACGTCGTCAGTGGTCTTCAGAAGATCCTCGCAGCCGCTGGTGTGGACCTGACCTCTGATGAGGTATGGAACGAGGTCGCGACCACCGAAGTCCTCGACCTGATCAACGGTTACAACAAGACCGTTAACACCCTCAACTACCCCTCTGGATACTTGGCACACTCCGACCTCACTGCCTTGCAGTACGCTTTCCTCCAGCCTGGCAACTACGACGTTGGCCTAGCTCTCGTAGCCGAGAAGACCAAGCAGCCCGTCACCACCGGTGAGCTCTTGACCATCGCTAGCTCGCCCAGTTCATCTCCCTTTACTGGCCCCGTCCTTGTCATCACCGGTGAAAACGACGTACCGTTCTGTGGAGGAAACTGCTACGGTCAAATCATGGGTACAAACACCTCCAATATCCCCGAGGGTGTCGCCATGGCTTACCCATCAGCCTCTGCTTTTGAGGCGTACATTCAGCCCAACACTGGTCACGGCTTGAACTTCCATTATAACGCCACCGCTGGTTACCAAGTCATGCAGGACTTCTTGGCAAGCAATGGTCTTGCTGCGCAGTAAACATCTCAAGCTTTGCACTCTGTCGCTTTGACTCGTCGCTGCGCTTCCGAGCGGATTAAAAGCTTTTGAGAGTACGACATAGCTAGAGTTAGCGGCTAGTAAATGAATACGTAATGTTTTGTAATTCATGTATACAATGATTGTT